GTAACTCTAAATATTTTTTAACCGAACGATATTTTTCAAATTCGTCACTTGCATTTCTGATAAAAACTCCAGCGCTTGTATACTTAAACCTTATAAGATAGCAAAGTAGTCTTAATTTAATTTAACTTTATTAAATAACATAGAAATATTTAAATATAATTTGGAAAACAAGCAAACGAAGTTGAGAAAAATTTAGTATTTTTTAGGAGGTAGAGATTTTTCAATCTGTCAGAATAAAATCATATACTTTGAGTTTTACTAAAACATATAAGTAAACTCAAGAGCGATCAATGTTTTCATCTTATTATTAGTGTATTTAAAAATATATTATTTTAATTATTCAATTATGTGTTCCATTTTATGTTTCATTACGGTTTATACACATCACACATTTTTTGTTCATTTCAACAAAAATGATCGCGACATCTCATAAAGCTCGATGGAAGTCATTAAGAATCTTCGGGATATGAAGAAGAAAATCAGTTATAATAGCAATTATCAATTAATTTTACAATTTTGAAAATGCTAAAATGTTGGAAAAAATATATTTAAATCATTAAAATAAGATTTTAAATACACTTGAAAAAAACAATAAGCATTCCATTTCTAACATTTTCTGGATTATGCTGAGGTAAAACGTATACATTTGTATTACATATATAAATTGGGGCTTATACCTAATTTTTTTAGTTTTTGTTTTTGTTTATTACCATGAGTGAGTCTATTTAAACACATTTTAAACAGGAAAGAAACATCTTTCTTCACCAAGTCTCGCTACTCCTGCCTGAACTGATGATAATATTGAAAATTACCGATTTGTCTCCCCCTTTACCAGGTCCCTTTACTCATGCCTCTACTGATGATACTGATGAACATTTACCTGTTTCTCGCCCCTTTAATCATTGAGCCACAGATTGAGTACGTCTATGTAGGGGGCGGTTTTATCGTCTGTGGTACTTTGTTGTACCTCGTCTTCATACACTTTCACTTCAAGGTCCCATTTTACGGTAGGTTAAAAAAGCTACATTCCTTAATAGAGTTCCAAAATTATTAATTAATTAACTAAATTATGATTTTTGCGAATGCGAATTTTTACTTTTATCCTAATAATGTATCCATATCTTTTAATCGTCCAGTAACTTTTGATTAATACTTAAAAACAGTAAAAGTATAGCCATATTTATTATTTAGAGTTTTATTGAAATTAGTATTGAGGGCGCTTACATCTAGGTAGCATTAACTTATGCAACAGTGTAGAATAAAGACCTGCCTTTGAGCTGTTTTTAATTACATTAATTTATAAACCCTAAATGTCTTTAAATACTGTTTTTTTTTAACAAATGAAACACATATAGAATTGGATTATGGTGAAAAAACTAGTGTTCAAGTTTTAACAAATTTTGAAAAAAGTAATTTTGTTTCGTTCACAGATCAATTCGTAACCTCAGCTCAACTCATTTTTCGTTTTTCACCAACAACTGACCAAGTAGACGTGGAATAATTTTTTTATTATTTGGTTTCTCGCTTAGTTGTGAATTGCCTAGCTGGCAGATATTGATTGGCAGATATAAATTAAATTAATATCAATACTTTCAATACTTTGAGTTCAACTTTACCGTTATAATTAACTAAACCGGCAACTTAAGACTTGTCAAGTCATGACATTTTGACACACAAACATGTATATATATATATATATATATATATATATATATATATATATATATATATATATATATATATATATATATATATATATATATATATATATATATATATATATATATCTCACACACTTTTATCTCTCTAACCCGAACATTTCGGACTTCTATCCGTTTATTGCGATGTGAAAAGCGGCTTCGAGCGGGTGTTACATCATTTATTGCCCGCAATCTAAGGGACAAGCACTCGTGTACCCGCTGATTCCCTTTTTGGTAAAGAGAAGGATTTACATTCAATTGGGAGAGATGTAAAGAGACACTCTAAGATATCAAACAGTGGGACAACTAGTTGGTAACTTTACATTTAAGACATAAATAGGCCTATATTTGCACATGTTGCTGTAAAATAAAATAGTATCGTATACGCCACGCAAGACAAACCCTTGAAACAATATCGGAAAACACCAAATGTTTTAATCAATCAGAAAGCAATTTCTACTAACTCAAGGTTTTTATGAAGATGAAAAACAACGCAATAAAAAACGCCCTTCTCTGTTTGCTTAGATGTTTCCGATGTCACTGAAAATATTTAAAACAGTTTAAACGAAATAAATATAAAATAAAAGACAGTTTCTTATAAAGTTTAAATGCTTAAAGAAAAATAATTTTAAAACATTTTTGAAGATGTGTATAAAATAAAAAATGTGAATTATTGGTAATTTATGTATTACTAATCGATTATGGTAATCAAACTGTAATTAAGCTCTTATCTGTAAATGTAAAGTAACTTTGGAATAATGAAAAACAACTAGTTAAAGGCTAATTAGGGGATGTTTTGTGCGACTGCAAAAATTAATAGCCGAGGATCGGACGAAATAAAAGGAAGTGGTGGAGGCCCTATGTTCCATAAGGAGCAAAGAGGACTAAGTCAAGTAAGTTAAATTAGGGGATTACACTCCAGTTCACTGTTCAATGACAATAGTTTACCTTTTTAGTGTATATTATCACATTGCCAACAATTAAGTCTCTGTTGTTTTCTGTAGCCACGCACACATACGTGTAGCCATCATACATGTCTTCACTTTGGAACTTCAGCGTGGATGAATGCAGGTACTGGACACAGGTTGGCCCAGAACTCACCAGCACCGGCTCTGCGACTGATATATCAGATTTTACAGGATACGGTACAAAGTTACTTGACTTGTTACCGTACCTCCATTGAAATGTAATGTTTTTTGGTCCCTGTAGTAATACATGGCTATATTATAAGAAAACTAGTACAATTAAAGCTGAATCGATACGGTTTAAGATGGATTTTTGAATGAGTTTTTTTAATACGTAGTTCTACTCAGAGGGTCGCAGGGGTGTGTGGACCACACCGGGTGACACCATTTAGAGAGGGGGGGGGTGACACCAAGTAAAAAAATGACAAGATGTATACAATAAATATGTTTTTTTTTGCCAGTTCAATGAATCGTTCATTAGAGTTAAAAGATATTTTAAATATATATTGAAGGTCGCGATAAGGGAGGACGTAAAGAAACACTATGACATATGCAAGCAAACCGTAGAGAAAACAATGCTACACTCAGCTTTGTTAACAACCGATAAACAGCATTAGTAATAAATGTGAACACTTTCAAGCTTTTTCGGGCGGGGGTGGGGTGGATGGTTGGGGTTGGGGTGGGACACTAACTGCAAAATTAACATAGAAAAAAGGGGGGGGGGAGGTTACACCATGAGTTGCCAGACCCTAACTAGTGACGCCACTGAATCTACTGGAAATAGTCGAACCCGATACTTGCGGGTTAGCAGTCGGATGTTCTGCTATCCGACCACGCAGTCAATTTTCCTGATTATTACCTAATTACACCAATTAGCTCATTAAGAATTTCAATTACCTCACTATACTACACATGCTAATTCACAAAACATAATGCTAACTGTGTTATATTACACCAACAAAAAAAAACAACCTAAAAAAAACACACACTATATGACCGTCATGATCACATTAAACCACCTATCAAAACATTTTTTTTTACCTAAATATACCACACTAACTAATTAAAATAGTATAATTTTATAATATTTTTTAAACTCACTATTATATTTTTGCATATGGCAATAGGGTGTACACGGTATACCAGCGATTAAGTTAAGATTTTGAAATAAAAACTATGAAACAATAATTATGGCAGTACGTACATTAACTATACATGTTAAATTAACACTAGACCCTGCAGGATTGACCGACTCATTTGGCTTGCGTCCCTTGACATTGTGTGGATTTATAGTCAGTGACACGGGAATTGCTCGGCCTGTTTGAAAGTGAACGGTTTGCGAGCCAACTTTATTTTGTTTAATTATATATATATATATATATATATATATATATATATATATATAAAAGGTAAATAATTATCTAGGCTACTGGTTGATTTTGACGGTCGGGTAAGAATTCAACGGCAATTGTCCAATCGGGCAATGGTCGCATTCAGGCAAGTGTCGATTCGGGCAGTTGTCGCATTCGAACAAGTCTCCATTCGGGAAATCGGCATTCGGACAAACGGAATTAGGGCAAGTGTCTTTCGAGAATTTGTCGTAGACCCCAGAAGGTACACACCCTAAAATCATTGTTGAAATTACCTTCGATTTTTCCTATCAATGACAAAGATTTTATAGGGAAATACGACAGGTCAGTTTTGACTACTTTGCATATTTTTCCCGGATATGGCGAGTTTTTTTTTTCTTACACCACTAGACGTTTTTCTTTCACCTCACAAAATATCAAGGGGGGGGGGGTTGTTCGGCAAATTTTTTTTTGTAATGTAGCTAGTATAAAGAGAATTTCACTCGCGGTCAATTTGTAGCACTCGTTGAGTTGAACCGACAGCTTTTCCAGCGTGTTCTGAAAAGTGTCTTCTTACTGAAGAAGTTGACTAAGAACTGTGTTCGTTCAAAGATGTCTCATGATATGCTTTGCCATTCGGCAATTTTAGTTATAAAAGGACTCCAATTAAAATCACGAAAACGTGAGGCAAGAAATATAGATCTCTCCCTCTGAACGCTTTGGTGATTATTTCAAAATAAATTTGAATCTAAAATATCTGATTTGCACACTCTGTGAATGTAATGTTCATCCCGTGTCTGATTTTGCTATTTTTTTTACTAGCTGTTCTGGAATAATAATAACAAAATTGTTACTGGGAATATTACGTTCTGATCACATTTTAAATTAAACAAATCATTTCATAAATCGGTGTCCTCACTTTCAATTATATATATGACATTAATACACGAAATCAACACCACACTTATACTTTTGTTATTTATCAACTACAGATACACGGCCTGTGCTCCGAGATTTAAAACTAGAATCTTACACCTATATCCAACACCTCTTTGATAAACTGTAACACCTACAGAAAAGAATGTAGCTGAATATAATATCTTAAATAATTACACCACACTTAAATACCATAGTTTGAGAGATTATTTTAAACATAAGTCCAGGATACCGCAATTCGCCTTTAAAACTTAATCAAGACTGATTTATTATAGAATAGATAGTGTTATGGACATATCAATTCAGAAGAATCGCTCAAAATTTAATTGTCAAATTATTAATTACCCGGCGAGGGGGTTAATGTCGGGGGAGTATTGTCCTGGGGGGGAGTAATTGACGGCGGAAATACCCTGTTTCCTCCCCATATATATATATATATATATATATATATATATATATATATATATATATATATATATATATATATATATATATATATAAAACTGAAAAAGTTGTCGTTTTTAATGTGAACAATTAATAGTGCTAAAGACCAAACATGTTGACATGTACTGACGACCAATAAGAAACTTGCCTACAACAGTGAGATTGTGATGTCGCATGAAATAATCGCCAGCATACGGCAAATCAGCTCTGCAAAAGTAGAATCCTGCATCCGCGCAGTTAGCATCATAGACTGAAATTTCTATTTTCTTCAATTTTTTAGAATTTTTTTGAAAAAAATTAGAACTTCTGTCATCTAAGCCTCCAGAGAATTTAAAACTCCACTTTCTTGCAGGATACGTCTTTGGTGGATTCTTTAAAAAAAAATAACGAAAAAAAAATCAGTAGTCTTAGAAAATATAAATCAACAAAGCATAATAAATAAAATACTGCATACCTGGACGTTGTTTAAAGCGTGTCAAACAGCTTACCGTCAAAATATGTTATTCTGTCTAAATATGTTTAAAACGCTGGTTAAAAACAAATCAAAATAGGGTGATTACAATTAACAAAGTAAAACAATATTGCAGGGGTGATAATTTAAAAGTAAATAATTCCGTTGCTAACGTTTGCTATACTATTTAAGTTTAATTTATATTGACATTTTTTTCCCTTCATGCCTTTGTAAAGGACGGTTGTTAAATTAATTAAAGGTTTTTTAAGACTTTGTTTATTTTGCCGTTAGATTAAGTACAAAAGTTTGAACATTTTTTGAAACAATTATAAATTCTTTTAACTTTTGTAAGTATATACATGGTTCACACATTTAAAAAATGACAGTTTTATAAATAAACGTTTCGTACTTTGACTGCCAAATAATAAATAGTGCAAAGTATAATAAAAAACATAAAAATAATCATACATTTAATGTATGTAATGTTTAATTATATATAGGCCCCATATCGCATTTTGTTCGATATTCCAATTGATAAAAGTTGTATTGATAAAGGATCCACCATTATAAATATTTAAAAAAAATTCTAACATGAAATGTAAAAGGATTCATACTGTATTTTACGAACTGTTATAGCGTACAATACTTTTTAAGAATAAATGCCTACCTGAGATGTAAATAGAATTATGGTAATAATGTATTTTGCTAACCGTTTTAGCATACAGTATTAAAAAAAAAATCCAGTCTGAGTTGTACATTCTTTTACAGTAGTTCTGTATTTTACTAACTGTGTTAGCTTACACTATTTAAAAAAAAAATTCTCACCTGAGATATAAATAGTTTTATGTTAGCGCCGCATCTTGCTGTTTTAGCGTACAATAATTTTTAAGAATAAATTCTTACCTTAGATTTAAATGAAATTATAGTAACACTGTACCCCGCTAACTGTTTTAGCATGCACACTTTTTTATTCAAAGTTCTAACCTGAGATGTATAAGGGGGTTCGATACTGTTGTAACTTGCTAACTCTTGCAGCTTACTTGTCCCGTTTGTCCATTCAATATAAAGGGTATACAAATTTTCATCAGTTGATGTAATACCAGCAATTGACGGGTCACATTGCAAAATAAACAATCCTCCTTGCTCAACCACTGTCGGACCGACAAGTGCATCACTAATCAAATCGATGTTCGCCTCACTACAAAATATAAATAGTTGTCAGTGAAATACAAGCAATTATTAATCTGCTATTTTTAAGGAGAAGTATTAAAATGAAAATACTATAGCTTCACAGCTTCATATCTATGCATGTTGTGTCAAATTGATAACCATACATTAAACCACTAGCCAAAAGTGAAGACAGAAAACTTCAACGAATATAATTTATATTAAAGACATAGGCATGGACAAAAAGTATTGTGACAATTATCTAGTATGACATATAGCTGTTTAAGTTTCTATCATGTAAAATGTTTTATGATATACTTAGACATTGAAAACATAAAGATTTGGTGTTAATCACAAGTGATATATATTTGTTGTTTTTTTAAAAATATTTTTACTGCAATTTTAAGAATATTGATCTTAAAATAATTTACAGCTTTTGTAGCAATGTAAATTAGTATCAAGTTTTAAATTTTACAAACCTTTTTACTTAAATTTATTTCCACACAGTATTCCGATCCATAAACAAAACGTAGAGTTAAACCGTATTAAATCCAAACACTAAAAACAACCACAACCTGACACTACATACTTTCAGCTATCTTTTCGTGTAATACAAATGACTTGAATAATATGACATCATTTTAAACTTAATGTATTCGTACTGAAAGACAACATGTACACTAAGGCAGAGAATTAAGTCATGTTTTGAACCGTTGTAATTCATACCTGTTAACATGTCCCACAGGCCCTAAAAGTAACAAAACGATTTGACAATTAATTGAAATATTTACGTTATTTAACTACTTTTGAAAAAAAAAATATCTTTAAAAACTGATATAAACTAGCAACAGAAAGTAAAGGCGATAACAATTATTTTAAGATTGATAAGATGTATGTACCTTTTTTAATCTCAAATTGACCACAATGTTAAGTTGACACTATTTTTACAGCTATTTAAATTTAAATACACTAATAAACAAATACAGAATAAATACACTTATTTTGCACCTATATAAAAAGTATTTTATTTATATATATATATATATATATATATATATATATATATATATATATATATATATATATATATATATATATATATGTATATATATCAGTAATATATTACAAATTGGTGCTGTAGACTAAATATACCTATGTCTGTGAATATAGTCATATTTCCAACAATTGTGTCTATGTTGTTTTCCGTTGCAATACACACATACACGTAGCCGTCATAATCATCTATTGGGTTAAACTCCAGAGTTGACGAATTAAGGTAATGGACACAGGTTGTTCCCGAATCGACTAAAACAGGACCGTCTAATTTTTTTTTATTGCGGACTTCCACGGGATAAGACGTAAAGCTTTGGAAGTTACTTAAACTGTTTCCAAACTTCCAACGGAGAGACACGTTGAAAGACCCCTGCAATATAACAGACTAAATATTGGGAAAAAGCCAACAGACTATAACATGTTAAAAGTGCTCCTTAGGCTCCGTTATGAACATGCTTTAAGCACGAAGATTAAATTATTTTTAATTAGCCTCCAATGTTAAACCGTCGGCAATAAAAATAATAAAATAAAATAATAATATAATAATAAAAATAATAAAAAAAATTAGGATATACTCTGATGCGAAAATTAAAAAATACATAGGTACTTTATATCATATTTTCCTTTATTTTGTCGGCAATAGAAATAATAAAATAAAATAATAATATAATAATAAAAATAATAAAAAAAAATAGGATAAACTCTGAAAATAAAAAAAATACATAGGTACTTTATATCAATTTTATCATATTTTCCTTTATTTTGTCGGCAATAAAAATAATAAAATAAAATAATAATATAATAATAAAAAAATAAAAAAAATAGGATATACTCTGAAAATTAAAAAATACATAGGTACTTTATATCAATTTTATCATATTTTCCTTTATTTTGTCCAAGACACACTGGGACGCCACCAAAAACTCTTTCCACTTCAGCCAGTCTCTAGCATTTGTTTTTGGCACTTCCCCAAGATAATCCTTCCATTGTCAGTTGCTTTTCTGCAGAGCGCCTCTAAGTCTCTTTTTGCCTTCCATGTATTCTTTTTCGTTGAGGCTCTCAGCGCCATTCATTGGATGTCTTATGGATTCATTCTTAAAATCTGCTCGATCTAGCCCCATACCTTTTTTCTTCAATTGTTTTGAAAACGGCTTCCATTTCCACTTATCAAAATAACATTGTTTCTTTTCAATTTACGTTATGTTTTTTATTTTGTATAACAGCTTTAAAAAATCACATCACTTACCTTTACAGTGCAATTTAACTTTACAATCTTTGCTCGAACTACGCACGAGGCTTGGGTGCCGTGTCCTACTTTGAACTGAGGATATATACTGATCGGCATCGGAACGAATCGATCTGATTAGAGATTAAATGTTTATGGATCAAGCTTATTTAGTTTGTTAGTTTTAATGCAAATATTAAAAGCGCATGTCATTTTACAATTTGATTTTCAATTTGATACAACTTAACAATACATTTGAGCTTTTCAATAATCAATTAACTTTGTTCGGTACGATAGTGACGCATTAAAGATATTTCTGATAAATTAATATAGTTCTAGATAACCTGTAATAAACCAGGATAATTTTTAAAATAGTAATGAAGGTATTGTTGTAACGAGAGCCGAACGATTCTCGAATGAATACTTGCCCGACTGTGAAAATACCCAAAAGCCACTTTCCCGAAAAAAGAGTTAAAATTACATATATACGAAGTAGACATTGTTGATAAACCTGTATCGCACATTTTGATAATTAACACAATTGTCAACTTAAAGTAAAACATAAAAAAATGTATATTGTATATTACCAAGTAGACAGTTTTAATCAATTTGGAGATCGAACATAAAGGACTACGTGTGGTGCTTAAATTTCCCACTTAAACAGCATCTCATTCTTTTGTGAAATGACCCCGATTCAACACAGGCTTAACACACCAAATGAACGTTCAATGTTGCGAAACATAACGGTTATTTCACAACAGTAAACGTCGGCCACCCAAGGTGCTCAAGATAGTAAATAAAGGAATGTGAAGACACCACCGCAAACACAACACTTACAAAGTTTTAAAGAATTATTTTTTTCACAGCAATTACACTTTTTACAAGCTTTTATGTAACTCATTCTGTCTGTCGTCAGTCTAGATCGAAACGCCCGAGCAAAATTACGGACACTTCTAACTGACAGATACGGTTCATAGTTAGAACGTGGGTCAAGACATGAAGACAATGCATCGTGACATTAAATTTGACTTAATTGGTCACCTAATTAATCTTTTATGAATTAATTAAAATTTGGACCGAATTAGTAGGCAGTTCTATCCACACGCGTCATCACGGCAAAAGCGTGTCATCACGATTAATAGGTGCGCAATGTTTTTTAGCCATGTAACTCTTTTGTTTTTGTAAATAAAAACATGTAAAGTAAGAAATATAGTTTCTTTAAAGTTATTTAAAGTTATTTAAATAGTAGTGTATAATTTATTTTCTCATTTTTAGTGTCTTATTACATAAAAGCTTGTTATTAAAACGTTTTTTATCAAATTAAAAAAAAATACGTCTACATTTTACAAAACATAAACACATTTCTATTTCTTATACTTAGAACTGTGTTGATTATCAGAATATCAAATTCAAATTTATTTTGATTGTGTACTTGGTAGTATATAATATTAACGTTTTTCTGAAAAACGACCTTCGGGCAAGTGTCTTTCGGATATTTGTCCCATTAAACAAGTGTTTATTTGGATATTTGTCCCATTGGGGCATACGTGTTCAGGATTTTGTCGTAAACCTTATTTAACAAGGAGAAGTAATCTCAGACAGTGGCGTAGCGAGGTCGGGTGTCACCCGGTGCGGCACTTAATGGTGTCACCCCCCCCCCCCTAGAGGCGTAGCGACCCTTCCCGGGGACAAGGCACATTTTCGATTTGCACTCCCCCTCAAGTTTTCGATTTGCACCCCCCCTGAAGTTTTCAATTTGCACCCCCCCCTCAAACTTTCGATTTGCACCCCCCTCAAGTTTTTCTCTATATATTTTGCTATTTTTTGTCTTGGTGTCACCCCCCCCCTAAATGGTGTCACCCGGTGCGGTCCGCACCCCCCGCCCCCCCCCCTCGCTACGCCCCTGATCTCAGAATAATCTGTGGAGAATGTTTGGAAGTTAATAATGCATACATAACTCGCCTTTCACAACGAGAGTCTGGTAACTCTCCTTTGTTATTAAAGTATTAGATGTGCCAACAAGGTATTCTACGATACAAAAGTAAGAGCCGGCGTCCTGACATTTAGCATCAACCGCATATATTTCAATTCTCATTGTGTTTCTGTTTTTTGGTCTATCCGCTGTACCCCGTAGGCTTCCATCGAAATTGTAAGTCCAATTCCTCACAGGAAAAATTCGTGAAGGATCCTGAAAATGTTTTTTTAAGCGGAATTCTCAAAATGAATGTAACTATCAATGCTATTGTTAACGTCAGTGTTTATCCGTATGTCACACCCGCATCGAAATTAACATTTGCATGGACATAAACTCAAAGGGGGGAGGGGGGGGTGTGCGCGGATCGCACCGAGTGACACCATTTAGGGGGGTGACACCAAGGCAAAAAATAGCAAAATATATATGGTGCAAATCGAAAGTTTCAGGGGGGGGGGGTGCAAATCGAAAATTTGAAAGTTTGTCCCCGAGAAGGGTCGCTACACCTCTGGGTGGTGACACCATTAAGTGCCGCACCGGGTGACACTTCCAATTTTAACACTGAGTAGGACTATTGACATTTTAATTAAACGTATACTGTAAAAATAGAGTTAACTTAGTTTGAAAAAAAACAACAACAAATATAAACAACTTTTGGAATAATAAGCCTTTAAATAAAAAAAAACAAAGTTGCTTTCTAAAGTACAATAATTTTTCACTCATGAAATGATATACATATTTTAGTCAGATTTTTCTTTAATCTGAACTATGCGATAATCTATTGGTCTATCTTGTTTGTAATTTAATCTATTAAATTTTTCTTTAGGGGGGGGGGGGGATTTCGTTATCGTCGGTTGTTTTTACTTTATAAAATTTGCAATTTCTTTGCAAATGTATTAGACTAGCACTTTCCAATGTTAGTTCCATATAATTGAATATAGTATATTTGAATGGTCGATTAGAAACAATACATTTAAATTTTGTTATAAATGTTTTTTTTAGATTGTTTTTATAAAGCAAGATGTTTTGAAAAACGTTAGATTGAAAAACAAAAAACTTACTCTAACCGAAAGAATAGGTGCAAATGTCCAGTATTTTGCTACAACTATTTTTTCTGATCCGTTATTTAGTTGAACTAATACACTTCCAATAGAAGCATCGGCTGGAACTGCAGCACGCGACGCGTCACATGTCACAGTAAACGATCCACCAGCCTCGACCTCAGTTTTGCTGAGAATATTGTTACTCATAGTTTGACTGCAGCCTGAAATGGTAATCCATTTTCAATAATTAGCAGCCGAACCGTTCAAAAATGAAACATTAACAGTGAAAATCGATATATAAATAAGATACTAATCATGTATTTTTAAATCTCTAACACAACACATGGCGTGTACTAACTAAAAAAAAAATGCCATCAACCTAACCTTTAGACCAACATAACAGCATAGCCGCTAACACGAATAACACACCGTTGTCCATTTAGAAATGCTGTTTTTTTTTTCTTAAAGTTGTTCAAAAAATATCATACAAGCGAAACGCAAAGTTGGAGAGAACTGCTACGAAGGTTTAAGTAAGCTGCTCTGTGCAAGCACGGCTATCTGGTCTCAGCTAAAATTATATATGAGCGTATATAGAAGTATTTCTGGTGTATAGGCGTTTCCACTGGGGGAGCAGGGGACTGTACTACCCTCTTATGACAGCTGATGTAGGCCTATTCGAGTGAAATTGAAATTTTAGTAATTTGAGGTTGGTGATATTCTTTTAGGTAATTGTGGATTAGATGGACTGCATTAGGAACTTGTGTATTTCATAGACTCCATTAGGAATTTGTGGATTTCATAGACACCATTAGGAAATTGTGGATTTCATAGACTCCATTAGGAAGGAACTTGTGGATTTCATAGACTCCATTAGGAAGGAACTTGTGGATTTCATAGACTCCATTAGGAAATTGTGGATTTTATAGACTCTATAAGGAAATTGAGTTCGTAAAATATGTTGTTAGGGACTCATTTACTCAAAAAAGGTTTATTATGTATTTCTTCTTCGATTTTAATTTTAATTTTGGAAGTGATGTCCTCCAACTGGATTAAGTATTACGTGTCAACGTGTTATGCGTTGCATCGGACGTTGACTCCGTTTTCACACTGCTTATCTTTCTGAAATTTTTCCCATATAATTTGTCCAACCGGGCAGCAGTTGTTTGATTTTGGAGATGGGTTGCTGTCTCCAGCTTACGAGCCTAATCTGCCAGGGCGTTCGAACTTGGTAGTTTTCGATTTAGCAGCCACGAGCTTTACCGACCCGACAACGCCGATCCTTTTATTACATATTTACTTAAAATGAGTTTTAAAATCGACTCCACACGCATTTTATTTTGGTCAGTTAGTGCAAAATAGCCGTGAGGTAAATACCTCTAGCTAGTCATTAACCCTAACCTTAGGCCTAATGTTTAAAAAAACGTAGCTCCGCCTCTTAAACTCTACAATAGCCGCGTCACCGCTTTTTATTTATTAATAATTTACAAATATGTATCAGATTAATCCGACGGGACTAAACATTCATGTGGGTAATTAAAAAAAACAATTCAAAACAAATGGATTAACCTACCCAACTCCTGCAGCGAAATCGAACATGTAATACGACAAATGATACAGCTTCGTTTTGTTCAAAGGATTTACATGAGAATGAGAATATTGATAGTTTAAACAACAATCTGCTTCATCACAGTAGGGCTTGTCTTCCAATGCGGGTTAAAGGCTATTGTACCGCACAGCGAGACACGAACAAATGAAACAACACTGTACCACAATTAAAACCAAAGGGATAATGACATTTAAAACAGTATAGTGAACATAATCCAAGACAGGGGTTTAATGAATACAATAGAGGATATTATAATGACATATGGTTTTTCAGTGGTAGAACAGACATATATCTGAATATAAGCAGTGAGTATCCCGAATCTACCATATCTACCAAACTACCATGTATACTGTCATGCTCAGCAAGACATTAACACAAACTGCAAGCGAACACACTAACATAAGACCAAGGTAAACATAAGACGAGAGCTTCTATACTCTTCAAGACAATATCCTATACACATTTACAATGAGAGCTTTTAAATCCGTACGACGAAATTGTATATAAGTATCGAGACATTAAATACCCGACAATTACTTATATACCCTTACGAAGAGTTCTTATATACCCATACGGCAAGATCTTAAATACCCAACGGGATCTTATATACCCATGCGATTTTACCTTATATACCCGTACGATGAAACCTTATACACTGGACAAGACCTTATAATACCCGACGAGACTTTATATACCCGACGAAACCGTATATATCTGGCGAGACCTAATATAACCATACGACAAGACCTTAAATCCCCGACGAGAATTTATATACCCGACGAGGCATTATATACCGGTACGACGAGAACTTATATACCGGTACGACGAGGCCTTATATACTTGACAAGACCTTAACTATCTGAACGTCGACACAACACAACTAACACACGACAACAACACATTGAATGATATGGGTCTTTACGGGGAAGTGAGTACACCGCGACAGCTTTTTCGTTCCTCTTTCATAAGAAAGATAGTTTAGTGTGTATGTAGAACCATAACCTTTGTCAACTGACTGCCGATAAAATGACTCCCTCTGACAGATGGCTTAGTATGGGACACATGCGTATTTTATCACTAACTCACTTGTGATTCAAGAGTTATGTTCAGAGTTTCTTTTATGCATCTCTTGAAGGGGGCCCCGCCTCGCCCGAATACGTCTACCGTCCCGCCAAACGAAATAGACTTTGTATGGAAAACAGATACTCTTACTAGTAACCGCCCCCGGAAATTTTAAGTGCCCCTACGGAAAAAAAAGTTTGGAAGAAGCACGGAATTACACGATCTGACGGTCTTATTTAGCAAACTTGAAATCATTTGACGGGTCCATCTAATACTTATTATAATTAAATAAAATGTTTTGAGTAAAATACCCTTAAAATCCATGGTTCCAAAGCTGAAAAATTCAGGAATAGCAGTCGAACGTTCTACCAATGGACTTCGCTGTCCTTTATACAATATTATAAAAACGGTTAAAAATGGACAAGCTTTTATATATGCACTAATAATAACATTATTCTCTTTATATGTCTAGCTATGACATCATCTTTATGGTACTATGAATAAAATTTAGGTCAAGAAAAACAGTACAAAGTGTAGCAACATATTTCTTTATGAGTATAAACTAAAACAAATATAAAAACCTTCTTTATAATAACAAGCTTTTTATTGTTTTTTGCCTTAGACATGTAATGATTGAGTTAAAACCACGACAAGTGGCTCGTGTTCCATGAAAGATATTTATCTGCCCCAAGTGGATCCTGGTCGAGAAAAAACAACAACAACAAAACATCCAAAGAAATTTAAAAAAAAATTTAATATTGAGTAAAGCTTACATAATTCCACAAGTGTGTTTTTGTTATGAAGAACAAAATATCTCTATAGTTTTTGTGAAAAATATTTGTTTTATACATTAAAAAACAACACTTTCATGTTTCATCAATCATTAGGGCTCATCCATAAATAATGTCAAACTCAGTGGGGGAGGAGGGGGGGGGGGTGTCGTAATTTTGTGACGATATATGAAGAGGGGAACTGGTGAGGGTTTTAGATAGTATGACGTAATAGTTTTGAATTTAATTAAAAAAAAGGTTATTTGAATTTTAGCAGTTATTAGGTGTAAGAGATATATTTAAAAAAATTGTAATATACATTAAAATATTTTATATTGACCCAGCTCAGACTTATTTTAAAAATAAATCGATGATTTAAAAACAAATATTTAAACTACAATTTTGAGAAAAAAAGAAGTTGAGAGAGAGAGAGAGAAAGAGAGACAGAGAGAGAGGCGTAGGCTGAGCAGGATATGGTTTTAGCACGAGAAGGGGTGGAAATCTTTTAGTGACATAGTGTGTGACAGTGGGAAGGTAGAAATCGTCAAATTAGCATGACGTCATATATAGGTGACACCTTAGATTAAATTTTAGCAATATAGAAAAAAAAACACAAGGCTAGTATATACCGGCTCCTTTCTCGATCGCAACTAAAACACTCAGTTTAAATTTGAAAATATTCTTTTTAATCTTCGTATTTAGCAGACACAACGCCGGCTTGCATTTTAGCGTCTAGTTGTGTAATGTAAAATCATGTATTAACATTTTTATGTTGGATGAATAGATTTGTAATCCCATCCAACCACAAAAAGACAACAAAAAAACAATATCCATTTTCCATACTGCCTAAAAATAAACTTGTATTTACCAATTTTATTAGAAAAAGTTGTTAGACTAGAGACAGCAAATAAACGTATTGCAGTTCAAAACACGATGTAAATTTAAAAATCTGGACAATTATTTAAAACAACTGTACACTAAATCCAGAGGTGTAGCCAGGGCGGGGCGGGGGTGCTGACACCATTTACGTTGGTGACACCAAGGCAAAAAAAAAAGCAAAAATGTACAGAAGAAAAAATGTTTTTTTGCCAGTTCCATTAATGATTAATTTAAATTAAATCGTCTTTTAAGTACAAATCGACAACTTTTGCACCATGAGGTAAACGTGCTAAGTATAGAGAAAACAATATACTTAAATTAAAGACCGATGTAGGCCAAAACACACACACATACACACACACACATATATATATATATATATATATATACTTGGTTTTTTTTTGGGGGGGAGGGGTTACACCACGATGTGCCGCATCAGGTGACAACCGACGCCCCTGATAGGCAAAGCCTAGACAAGTGTCGCCATTCAAGTTAATTCCCGTGTCAGTTATGCCTCACAGATAAAAGGGAAGGGGGAACCAATACAAGAGGCATCGGCTAATTTATTGACGTTGTAGAGAACACCACAGTCGTTTCCATCGGTGGGGAGTCCGTTTGGCTCTCCATCACTCCATAGCAGCGACGCCTGGTTTTGGGTTAATGTGCTGTTGTCCTCCTCCCAGATATACGTGCCCTCTACGTCTATGTCGTTCAGGCCAATATACACAACTGGATTTGATCCCGCCATTCGCCGCACCAGCTTAAGCTTTTCTTCTGTTTTGACTGACGCCAGAAAGCCCCCTAGACCAACGCAGTAATCTCTAGCGTCGGGGTAATTTATCGCGGTTGAGATGAAGCTCAGGCAGGAGTACGTATTGCCGGAGTTGAGTACTATAAAACCTTTAGAAGCGTCACAGTGTGAGTACGGATGCCGAGTGTAGAGCTGACCTTCATCAGACGCGGGGGGTGGTACCGAGGTAAACATCCAGGTTGCGTGTATGCAAGTGCGTTTGAGTTTGTTGAAGATCACATTTCGGCACGTGGTATCGTATTTAGCCTGACATGCAGATATGCAAGAAATTATAGACATTGCGGAAGTTATGTTTCCTAGACGTACTGGTCCATAGAGCGGCGATTTCAATTTGTAAAATCTCGACTCCTTGCCATCACACATTTTGTATTCGAGGAAAACTATTAAAAAAAATGTGTAAAAAAAATTAATCAGCCTTCATCACATATTTAGTAAAATGTAACTGTAACGCAAGTTGTTGTTAGGAGCAAGATTAAAGAAAGAGTAAAGATAGCTTGAATCAATTAATGTTAATTTTTTTTTAGTTAAAAGTTGCCCTGTCTTCGAAAATTTAATATGAATGTATTGACCTTAAGCAGAAGAGATACTAATGCTTGCAAATATTTTAAGTACATTAACTTAGACACACACTTATAAATAAGAAAAGGCTTATATATAAATCATTATGTAAAAAATGATCGCCATATCAAAAAGTGCCACTTTCGGATTTTGGAAAGCACGATTGTTTTGACAGTTTTCACAGAAAATATAATAAGGAATTTTGTAATTCGTTGCCACATAGCATTCAGAAATATTATGTATCATCACTAGTATCACACTGCTATGCCAATGATTAGATTTATTTAAGAATAAAATAACGCTTATTAAAACATTTTAAAATATTTCATTTACCTTCAATCCAAAGTGCAAGCAATGTAAGAAGGTTCATTTTAAACAAGTTAAATGAATGATTTCAACCCGTTTCTTACGTCGTGCTGATTTTTACTTGTTTTCAGGAAGTGCTGATGTTAACCCGTTTATTAAATAGTGCTCATGTCAACACTTTTCTTAAGTCTTGCTGATGTCAACACGTTGCTGTCTACACGTATGTTCCACACTGTCTAATGTGATTTTTTTTCCCATCCAAAAACAAACACAGTCTTTGTTTTATAATCGAGGACACAAAACAATCAATTTTCTAGGTCTTTACGGCTGAAATAATATAATATGGATCCAGTTCTGATGGTATCTACAACTTGATACTTAAAATGTAGTTCAGTTTGAGCCTGAGTTGTAAATATATAATACACCGCTATTAGATGTATTAGATTGCTTTAGGAGTTCTGGTGTGGCGGATGTTTTTGAGTGTGTTCTTCTAGTGGCTTCAGTTCCTCAACTTAACGATTAAATTTGTCGTGACGAACTGCGTACTTTTTACGATAAAATCAATACACTGTTAGTGTCCCACCTAAGGGATGCTTGTGAAAAATTGCTAAAATTTAATAAAAACTATTTTAAAAAATCACATTATGTTTCATTGTATTTGGAAATGGTAAACTATTGTATTTGTATGTGTTTTATGAAGAAATTTAATTTAGAAAAAAAAAGTATAGCAATGACTTTTCGAGATCTGTACAAAAAAAAAATACGCGCACACAGAAAAGTGCATCTAAAATGCATTTGAAACGTGTAGCAGTACCACATTTCTATGTAATAAAAATATAAGAGTAACAATTTTTATCTACTTTGTAATATCAAGTGTACAACAAGCGTTCCATATGTTGGACGCTAACAACGTATGGCCCCATGTAGATTGTTGCACAAACGTCACATTTATTGGACACTAGCGAGAAACACAGTAGTAAATGTTCATGTTAAATGGTTTTTATGTTGAAACAATTTTTGTTTTAAACTGTTCACTTTGGGGTGTTAAGTGTTATTTATAGATATTTGATTTTGACCTTGACCAATATATTTGTTATATATTATTGTATACAAATCGAGAATGAATTTTTTTTTTATGTTGCTAAAATGGTTAACAAAATGTATTCCAGATATTGATTACATCTTAAAGTTACAAGTATATATATATATATATATATATATATATATATATATATATATATATATATATATATATATACATATATATATATATATGCCTATATATATACGCCTACACACACACACACATATATATATATATATATATATATATATATATATATATATATATATATATATATATATATATATATATATATATACGCATATAATGGCAACAAATTATGACCCAAAACTATAACACATAACAAATTGATTGTGGACAATTTAACAAATAGTTTGAAAACGAAATGTAGGTAATTAAATATTTATTCACCTAGTTACCGCAGTTTCTGTGAACAAATCCATATTATTTTTAACGATTTCGTCTTAGAGAAATTACGTATAGATAAGAATGGCACACATCACGATGCGTTGGTTGTTAAAACAATTGTTTTCATTTTGTGGTTGTAAGGGGGGTATGTAATATTCAGGATCAATTGGTTCAAAGCATAAGATTAGCTGTAGATAACTTATACCTTTACAAACCATTTTTTTAAAAACACAAATAGAGCGTGTAAGTACGTCATCTCCATTTCCTTCACAAATTTGCGAGCTAGTATTTTTCAAACCAAATATTACTATAATTTTTTAAATCAGTAAAAAAAGACAAAACAGTAAAGTTTTTTCCTCTATTATAAAGTTTTTAAAAATTCTAATAGTCTAAAAGATGCATGCTAGCTTAAAAAAAAAATATGGCCTAAAATGCTTATTAATATGAATTAATGGCTATAACTTTTATTTTCAAATCTTTTAATTTTTTTTTATGTTTACATAGTATTGTATGACAGCAAGGACCAACCATTAGACAATCGGAACACCCAGACAAAATTCAGATGGCTTGTGTGAACCTATCAGACTTTTTTCTCCGTGGGGGAGGACACCTGATATTTTTTTTTTGGGGGGGGGGGGGGGGGCGGACTAAATTTACCGGAGGGTAGGGGGGGGGGGAGGGCGCACACTGGTAAAGTGTAAATTTTCTATGTAAATTTTCATTTCGTTCACGGGGGGGGGGGGGTGGTAGACTTTTTATGGGGGTAGGGGAGGGGAGAAGCACACGAATGTAAACTATGAGAATGTAGATGGATTAGCCTTTGTAGTTCAATGTAATGTGGGATTGATTGTTATTGGCCTGTCGGGTGAACGGTAATAATTCGGTTGTTGGAGTAAAGATGAGGATGATGGATAGTTCTTTTTAGATGAACATTTCCAGAGCTTGTATGAGTCTCGTAGTGTAGTGGGCACATATCTCAGGGTTCTAGTGGGCATATATCTCATGGTTCAAGAGGGCACATATCTGAAGGTTCTAGTGGGCACATCTCATGGTTTTAGTGGGCACATTTCTCAGGGTTCTAGTGGGCACATATCTCAGGGTTCTAGTGGGCACATATCTCAGGGTTCTTGTGGGCACATATCTCATGGTTCTAGTGGGCACATATCTCATGGTTTTAGTGGGCACATATCTCAGGGTTCTAGTGGGCACATATTTCAGGGTTCTTGTGGGCACATATCTAGTGGTTCTAGTGGGCAGATATCTCATGGTTCTAGTGGGCACATATCTCGGGGTTCTAGTGGGCACATATTTCAGGGTTCTAGTGGGCACATATCTCAGGGTTCTAGTGGGCACATATCTCGGGGTTCTAGTGGGCACATATTTCAGGGTTCTAGTGGGCACATATCTCGGGGTTCTAGTGGGCACATATTTCAGGGTTCTAGTGGGCACATATCTCATGGTCCTAGTGGGCACATATCTCATGGTTCTAGTGGGCACATATCTCAGGGTTCTAGTGGGCACATATCTCGGGGTTCTAATGGGCACATATTTCAGGGTTCTAGTGGGCACATATCTCATGGTTCTAGTGGGCACATATCTCATGGTTCTAGTGGGCACATATCTCATGGTTCTAGTGGGCACATATCTCAGGGTTCTAGTGGGCACATATTTCAGGGTTCTAGTGGGCACATATCTCAGGGTTCTAGTGGGCACATATTTCAGGGTTCTAGTGGGCACATATCTCGGGGTTCTAGTGGGCACATATTTCAGGGTTCTAGTGGGCACATATTTCAGGGTTCTAGTGGGCACATATCTCAGGGTTCTAGTGGGCACATATTTCAGGGTTCTAGTGGGCACATATTTCAGGGTTCTAGTGGGCACATATCTCAGGGTTCTTGTGGGCACATATCTCATGGTTCTAGTGGGCACATATCTCAGGGTTCTAGTGGGCACATATTTCAGGGTTCTAGTGGGCACATAGCTCAAGGTTCTAGTGGGCACATATCTCGGGGTTCTAGTGTTTTTAAATGAGCGACATGTAACACTAATGAGGTTGTTTAATAAAGTGATTTTGACAACATTTGATATCTCATTAGACTATTGAAAGAATAGTTAAATGGTGTATATTCTACTATTTAAATGAACGTTATGCCTCTTCCTCCCCCCTCCAACTATTTAAAGAAGAACAATACGTCTTGGGAGTAAATTGACCATTTGACTGTCTTTCCAATTAGAGCTCGTACAGAGTTTTTTGTTCTTTTTTTTTCATACAACAGCGTTAGTTAGTGACTGTAGAAAAATCAGTGGCGTAGCGAGGTCGGGTGTTACCCGGTGTGGCACTTAATGGTGTCACCCCCAGAGGCGTAGCGACCCTTCCCGATCCCGCCCCCTTCGCTACGCCTCTGAGAACAATCACCATTGTAGTAGATCTTTTTCTTTAAAAAAATAAATAAAAACCCTATCAAGGTGCTCGAAAATAATCATTTTCGAATAAAAGTTTAAATTTACTTTGGGTCTGATACCCCCCCCCCTAAAAAAAAACGGCCTGAGCTCTAATATAGCGTAATCTTGTGGCCCAGTATCTCCGCCTCTGTCTAACAGTAACAACAGCAACAAAAATATATTCTACTTCTAACTCAGCTATCTCAGTTTCCGAGTGAGTATCGCGAAATTCGGTCAGCTAGTAATTAACACAGTTACCGCTCTAGTAAATACTAGCGAAACTATAAATAGAATATTACTCAATGGTGTCCGAAAAATGAGTCAAGTTTAAAAAAAAAGTCGGTTAAGTTCGGGTCAGTTGTACTAATTTTTGTAATTAAATGAATGCCAATTGCTTTCCTTGCTTGAAATTATTTTATTTATTCCCAGCACTTCTCTCTTAACAGCTGTTCAATTTTGGTTTGTTCTAAATAGCTTTTGGAGTTGACTTTGTGTTTTCGAGATACTTATTTTACGAAACAATTTGGTAGTAAAGTATGTATGTATGGTAATTCATAGACAATAGTTTTGAGACAAGTTGAGTTTGACGACCGTTTGTGTGCGGTCAGTTTACATTTCTTTTTTCATAAGGAATTTTTTGCATCTAAATTGTAATATAACACAATGTAGTTTTATTTTGTAAAATTGATGTTATATTATTTACAAAATACTGATTATACATTGCTATATTAATGTGTTTGAAATATGAGCTAGGTAATCATAGCAATAGGTTAACAGTAATCCTATATCTCAGATTTGAAATATTTTGACGGTCTTTAAAGATGGGATCATTCCTGCTTCGAAAGCATTTTATGACTTAATATTCACGTTGAACACTATAAAAATCGTCATTTGTATTAGCTATGGCGTCGTCCATAAATGAAGTCACACTCGTAGGGGGGAGGGTGCCGTAATTTTGTGACTTTTAATATTCACGTTGAACACTATAAAAATCGTCATTTTTATTAGCTATGGCGTCGTCCATAAATGAAGTCACACTCGTAGGGGGGGAAGGGTGCCGTAATTTTGTGACTTTTAATATTCACGTTGAACACTATAAAAATCGTCATTTTTAATAGCTATGGGGTCGTCCATAAATGAAGTCACACTCGTAGGGGGGGAGGGGGGAGGGTGCCGTAATTTTGTGACTTTTAATATTCACGTTGAACACTATAAAAATCGTCATTTTTATTACCTATGGGGTCGTCCATAAATGACGTCACACTCGTAGGGGAGAGGGGGGGGGGGGTCCGTAATTTTGTGACTTGCAATATTCACGTTGAACACTATAAAAATCGTCATTTTTATAAGCTATGCTAAATCGGTTTAGACCAGTTAACAGTAAACATTTTTGATTATATTAAACGAATAATAAAAAAAAATTCACTAAACTATAATTAATAAAATAGCAACATGAAGGATGAAGAGGCAAAGATTCTAATAAAATTAAACGTGTATGAATACCAACGCGGTAGAGCAACAAACTCTAGTATAAGGGAGATAACGCTGAGTTGTTTTATTAATTGTCTAACTGGGTAAGGTATATTTTTTGTAGTAAAGGCATCGCTTTAATTGATATAGTTTACATTAAAATAAAATTAATTTGTACACTAATTTGGCAAGAAATTTTAAGTCACTTTTAACCATATTAAACCCTTTAATAAGAATCTTCAAAGACAAACAAAATTAAACTCGTATGCAAGATTCATCAAATCCAATAAACCCCTTTATAATGCATTTTCAGTTCAGGTCCAAGTTTAATTAGTTATTTCCTAAATTAAACACACAAATAAAAAAAATTGATTGGTAACTCTTACCTAACTCAGGGGTCGGCAACCTTTTGAAGCGGAAGAGCCAAAAGTTCCAATTTTCAAAATTTACCTGGTTTTAAAGAGCCAATAACATTTTTTAATTTCAAATATTTTTTTTTTTATTAAGATAATTAGTATTTGTTCAAGGAGCTGGAGAGCCGCATCTTGATATCGAAAGAGCCGCATGCGGCTCGCAAGCCGCAGGTTGCCGACCCCTGACCTAACTTAACAATGTTATAGGGAAAAAAGTAAATAAAGTATCAACATTAATTAAGACGAACATCACTCGAACAGGCCTCGAGTAAAATAAACGTTAGAACAGTCCTTAGGTTTCTCAGGTTTTAAAAAAGCGCAATAGAAAGAGATACACACCTCTCATACGCCCCCCCCCCACACACCCTATTTTAGTCTAGTTTTTACCAGGACCAGCGCTATCTATAAGGCGAACTAGACAGTCGCCTAGGGCGCTCTCCGTAGAGGGACGCGAAAAATATGCAATCGCCATTATAAAAAAGTACCTATTAATTAATAACTGCGTAGCGATGCCCAGGTCGAACTATCAATTTTGCGCCCCCTTTTCAAATTAGGCCTATATATATATATATATATATATATATATATATATATATATATATATATATATATATATATATATATATATATATATATATATATATATTCGCGTTGATGAATAAACGCACCCCCGCCCTTTCCCCATTTGGACGAGTCGGTGTGCTTTTTACAAGTCACTTTGCCTTTTTATTTTGGTCTCCCTCAAATGATATAGAAAACAAATAAGTCGGTAATGCCAAGTAAAAGTGATTATTCTTTATTTTGACTGTATTTATTTTAGTAATGAGCTTTGTATATTATTATCTTTCACATTTGGCGCCCCTTTTTGGTCGGCATCTATGACGGCCGCCCCTCACGCCCTCCCCTAGCTACGCCTCTGTTAATATAATGAGATTATTATTCTATATAATCTAAATCTTTCAGATGATTGTCTAATTACCACGTTTTTCTTAACTCAGCTTTGCGTTTGTTTGTGTATGGATTTGTTTGTTGTTAAAATTGACAACGAAAATTAGCCCACTTCTGATTGCTCTAGACATCTGAAATTCGACATGCAGGCTATTTTCGCCTAACAATTTCAGATGCAATCATAAAAACTAGCAATTAGAGACCTAAATTAGCTTAATTAAATTACGCCCCAAGGACCTAACATTGAGGACATGATTTCTAAAGCAAACAAAATTATCAATCCAGATTTATCAAAACAAAATTAAGAGGTTTTATCAGTGGCGGAGTGGTCTAGCGGTAGAGAGTTGGACTGCTAACCCGTTAGTCTCGAGTTCGAATCCGGGTTTAAGTCAGTAGACCGTCCCTGAGTCCACCCAACTCTGATGGGTACCTAAAAAGTCATCTAAATTTTTATGTATTTAAAAACACTTAGTCAAGTCATACTTAATCAAGTCATTAGGTAAAGTAGAAAATAAACTATATAAAAACTTTTTTAAAAACCACGTTTTTCATGTGTAGCAACGGACTAAAAAGGAGAAAATAAAATACTTAAAAAAACTTTTAAAAAAACCACGTTTTCCTTGTGGACTAAAAAGTAGAAAATAAATTTTGTGCTTCCTCGAGCTGTGCAGGTTCTTGTGATGACTGTTCATACATTTGATGACAAAAAACGTGGGTACCTAACTCACGTTAGGGAAAGTAAAGGCGGCTGGGCATAGTGCTGACCACACTATCTCTTCATATGCCGAGAAGAAATAAAGGAAAGGTTGAACGACGACAGCTCCCATTTTTTTTAACCACGTTTTTCATGTGTAGCAACGGACTAAAAAGGAGAAAATAAATTACTTAAATAAAATACTTAAAAAAAACTTTTTAAAAAACCACGTTTTTCTTGTGGACTAAAAAGTAGAAAATAACTATTTACATACATTTGATGACAAAAAACGTGGGTACGTTCACCATCAAATTTCCCGACCCATCTGCCCGACCCACGTTTTTTGTCATCAAATGTATGTAAATAGTTATTTTCTACTTTTTAGTCCACAAGAAAAACGTGGTTTTTTAAAAAGTTTTTTTTAAGTATTTTATTTTCTCCTTTTTAGTCCGTTGCTACACATGAAAAACGTGGTTTTTAAAAAAGTTTTTTATATAGTTTATTTTCTACTTTATCTAATGACTTGATTAAGTATGAATTGACTAAGTGTTTATAAATACACGGACTAAAAAAATCTTGAGCGACCAGGATTCGAACCTGGGTTGTCGCGGCCACAACGCGAAGTACTAACCACTATACGATCACGGCCAGCGCGCTCACATCGATTGGGGCCGAAGTAACTGTGTCTATAAGCCTCCAGTCTTGTCGGTATCTTTAGAAATCATGTCCTCAATTTTATGGTCCTTGGGGCGTAATTAAATTAAGCTAATTACCGTCTCTAATTGCTAGTTTTTATGATTGCATCTGAAATTGTTAGGCGAAAGTAGCCTACATGCCAAATTTCAGATCTATTGAGCAATCAGAAGTAGGTTAATTTTCGATGTCAATTTTAACAACAAACACACGCGAAGCTGAGTTAATAAAAACGTGTTAAAAAAAAACTGTTTAAAAAACCACGTTTTTCTTGTGGACTAAAAAGAAGAAAATAAATGTTTCTTCCGACCCCAGGGGATCTACCAATGACTGCTCGTAGATTTTGTGCTTCCTCGAGCTGTGCAGGTTCTTGTGATGACTGTTCGTACATTTGATGACAAAAAACGTGGGTCGGGCAGATTTATGATTAAAGCGAAAAACACACAACACACGAATTTCGGAAATTTGATGGTGAACGTACCCACGTTTTTTGTCACTTTGCCCCCCCCTCCTCCCGAAAAAAATCTACCGCCACCCCCCGAACGAAATGAAATTTATAATAAAATACTTAAAAAAACTTTAAAAAAAACCACGTTTTTCTTGTGGACTAAAAAGTAGAAAATAACTATTTACATACATTTGATGACAAAAAACGTGGGTACGTTCACCATCAAATTTCCCGACCCATCTGCCCGACCCACGTTTTTTGTCATCAAATGTATGTAAATAGTTATTTTCTACTTTTTAGTCCACAAGAAAAACGTGGTTTTTTAAAAAGTTTTTTTTAAGTATTTTATTTTCTCCTTTTTAGTCCGTTGCTACACATGAAAAACGTGGTTTTTAAAAAGTTTTTTATATAGTTTATTTTCTACTTTATCTAATCACTTGATTAAGTATGACTTGACTAAGTGTTTTTAAATACACGGACTAAAAAAATCTTGAGCGACCGATACGCTTTAAACAGAGAAGGGGCGTAATTTACGTTGCTGGCGTGGAGATCTACTCACGAATCACGTGATCAAATCTCCCATAAACAAACAAATAAACGCGAAGCTGAGTTAAGGAAAAACGTGTTTATGTGTATTTTAGCATGCCCAGCGTACCAACCGTGTCACCGTTAACAATGTGTTACCGTGTCCGTTCTCCTTTTTAGTCCGTTGCTACACATAAAAAACGTGGTTTTTTAAAAAGTTTTTTTTAAGTATTTTATTTTCTCCTTTTTAGTCCGTTGCTACACATGAAAAACGTGGTTTTTAAAAAAGTGTTTATAAATACACGGACTAAAAATCTTGAGCGACCAGGATTCGAACCTGGGT